GCAAACCACCACGCGCACGCGCGTGACACGCGTGGTACGCGCAAAGACAAATCCCCCCCCCCACCTCTTCCTCCCCGCACCCCGCGTGGCCTTCGAACAGAACGTTTTCAGGGGGCAAGCGCCGCGAGCGAACGACGGTGGCCGTGAGCGGGAATCGAACTCGGGGTCTGCCGGGTTCGTAGCGCGGCGCGCTGACCACGCCGCCACTCCCCACACACACGAGCGAGCGAGCCGAGCCGCTGGGTACACAACAAGCGAGCGGAGCGAGTGGACATAGGGGGGGCACGCAATTGAGAATGACCTCTGATCGGAGCCGGCTGTCCGCGTGTTTACGCAACGGGGCTGGACCCGCGCTTTGCCGGGTGCGGGAGGGGGGAGAGGCGGGGGGGGGGGGTTGCCGTACTTCACCGGCACCGACAGTCAGGAACGCGCGCGCGAGCGCGCGCGTGCGGACTTCAAAGGCGGCGATGCCGGACAAAATTCTGACACCGACGACGCAGGAAGGGCCCGGCCAGGTGACGCACGATCGCGGCCGAGAGAGAGAAGAGGGTGGGCAGACAGCAGCGGGGGAGATGCCGGTCATCGCTGGGGTTTCAGCCGCAACTTCGAACGATGACGACAAAGAAAAGTTCACCACCGCACAGAAAAACTGCGGCAGTGAACGTGACGAGTATAAAAATACAAAAGTATAATTTATAGCCGCCCTGGCGAACGGCGTTTGCACGAAGGCCTCTTCCTTCTCCCTGCCCCCCACAGCCACGCGTCGGGGGCGTGCTCTGCTTCACCCAATAGGTAGAGCCAGTGGGGGGGGGGGGGGGGGGTTGGCACGTGCCCCCCCCCCCCCAATGATCCGATCGAAATCCCTAATTTCGATCGGATCATTGGGGTTTATTAGTAATAAATCGGCATTTTGCGACCCCCGCTACCACTGTGTCGCATATTACTATGTGCCAGGGACTCTATGAGATGATTGGACAACAGTCCATAATTGGCAATAAGTAAGGGCAAAGCAGTTTTCAGTGACTCACAGAATTGTGCGCAGTTGCGTCTACGGCACACGACTTCCCTGAAGGCATCGACACCTTCAGTGAGCGCGATGCCGATCACTAACAACGCGGTTCGAATTCGACCCCTCGATCGATGGCCGCGCCATCGCCGCACACGCGTCGAATAAAAAGTCCTTACTTACTAACAACTCCTCTATCACTTTTCATTGCTGGAGGGGTTCCCCCCCCCACCCCCTACCTGAAAAGCCTGGCTCCCGTCATTGGCTTCACCCACCGCGCTGCACGGGCCGAGTGAAGTGGCAAGGTCCGGGACATCGCTCGCCACTGACGTTAGTTCGCAGTGGAGATGCGGTGGTGCCGCCCGTAGTAACTGGCGCGCGGAGGATGCGGATCGGGGAGACGCAGCCCTACTCCTACTCCTCCTCCGCTCCGCAGTTTGGACATCTGTCCGCCGTCGATCAGATTCCGTCGAGGATTTACATTTCTCGAGTGAATCCTCTCCCTGCCGCCGCCCCCCCCCCGCCCACCGAAGCCTAAACGTGGTGGCGGTGGTGGCAGTGGTGGGCCTGACGGTGTCACCGGTGCCCAAAAGGCCCCCCCCCCCACCGCACCCCAACGGCCCCCCACACCGATGCATCCCACCCCGACCCACCCCTTATTGTGTGGCGTTGGGAGCGGCCGCGAGTTTACGAACGTTTCGGGCTCGGGGCGGTGGGGGAGGAGGCTGACAGCACCGTGACGAGCCGCTGGGCTGTTAGGTAAACCGCGGTGGTCGCGCCTCCTGTGCAGCAGCGGCGGGAACGACTGAACCGAGCGCCGAAAACCACCACAACCACCACAACCACCACCAGCTGCACCGCCTCCCTGAACCTCACCCACCCAACCACCAAAGACAAAGATCCCACCCACCCCCCCACCCACCCCGCCGTATAGCTTGTAACAGAGAGTCGGGGCAGGCGCTGTTTGCGAGCACCTATGAAGGCCGGCACTGCGGGCGACGGGGTGGGTGGCCGGCACCACGCCCGGCCGCCTTTTGTTTACCGCGCAGCCGCGGCAGGTACTCATCTGAGGCCGAGTCGACCTAGGGGAAGCCCACGACCGGTTCGGATCACCGTCACCGGCCGCGAGCGGGAATCGAACTCGGGTCGCAGGGTTCGTAGCGCTAACGCACCCCCACCGCCACCAACACCTCTACCCACATCGCCCCCGCCCCGGTCGGTCCCGCCAAAGTGCCCGCTATTAATTAGCTCTGCTTACCAGCCTCTGCTGTGCCCACGAGGGGGTAGTGGTGGTGGTGGGGGTAGGCGTGGGTGGAGTGGGGGGTAGGAGCCGCTCGTTAACACAGAGTTAATCTCAAAGGCAGCTTCAGCCCAGGCGCCCAAACAATGCCTCCCCAGATGGGTATCTGGGTTTTCGTTCATTCCAGCGCCCACCACCACCACCACCCCTGCCGCCGTGATAACAGAAATTGAGGCTTTTCCCCTCCCATGCGTTATCTGCTCCTAAGTGCGCACGAGTGTGTGTGTGTGTGCGCGTTTGTGTGTGTGTAATTGCGTGTGCGAATGTGTGTGTGAATGAACGTGCGTGTGAATGAACGTGCGTGTGCGTGTTTAATTGTGTGTGTGCGTGTGATTGTTATTCTTGGTTCTTTCGGTAAAGTCACGTGGATATAAAATAAAAATAATACAATTTTTTTTAAGATATTAATAAATTGAAAATAATGAAAACAAAAAAAACACAATAAAAATAGTAAATAAAAATAAAACTGATTGTGTAATTGTGTGGGTGCATGTACGCAAGTGTGCGTGTGTTTAAGTGTGGTGTTGGGCAACCCACCCCCTCGTGTGCCGTGCTGGCCTTCGTAGGTGCTCGATAACAGCACTTGCCCCAACAGTCGGTTCAGATTATACGGGGGCTCTGTGTTTATTTGTGGGGAGCGGTAGTGTAGCGGGTAGTGTAGCAGTTAACGCGCTGCGCCTCGAACCCGGCAGACCGGGGATCGCATACTGATCATGAACCAAACACCGGTGACGATTATCTGAACCGGTTCTGGGCCTCCCCGAGGTCGACTCAACCTCAAATGAGTACCTGGTGCGGCGTGTAAAAACATTGCCACTGGGGGGGGGGGGAGGTGGGGATACAAAGGCGGTTGGGCGTGGTGTTGGGCGAACCACCCCCTCGTGTACCGTGCCGGCCTTCGTAGGTGCTCGCTAACAGCACTTGCCCCTACAGTCTGTTACAGGCGACTCGGGGAAGGGGGCGGGGGATCGTTGCCTTTTCGAGTGTGCGTGTGCGAGTACGCGTGTGTGTGCGTGTGCTTTTGTGAGTACGCGAGTGCGAGTACGCGCGTGCAGCGTGTGTGAGTATGCGTGTGTGTGCGTGTACGCGTGTGTGTGCTTTTGTGAGTATGCGTTTGCGAGTATGCGTGTGCTTGTGTGAGTACGCGTGTGCGAGTACGCGCGTGCGGCGTGTGTGAGTACGCGTGTGTGCGTGTGTGACTATCACGCGGTGGCTCGCGCTCCGTGATTGCTCTAATTACCCCCTACACAGACGCTTCCCGGCCCAAGGCAGCGCTGGGCCAGGGGGGCGCCCCACACCCCGATGGCTCCCATCTGATAGTACCACTGTGGACATAGGGGGTGGGTGGGATGGGAGGAACGGAGGGGAGCGGGGGAGGGGGGAGGGTTGAGGGGAGGGAGGAAAGGAGGGGGGGAGGGAGGAAGGGGAGGGTACAGGCAATACACAATTAACTTTTAATTGCTGCATTATAAGAAAGCCCGATTGCTTGGATTCAGATGCGGCGCACTTTATCGATCCCGTCATCAAAGTTTAATGGAGGGTTCTCGGGGTTTTTAAGCAAGGCACCTTCACGCCATACGCAAGCAAAATAGATTACGCTCTCAATAAATAAATAACGTAATTAAACCGGGGCAGAATAACCCAACGCCCGCCCCCACTCCCACGTTTAATTTAGACTATTAACTTAAAAAAAAAACTTGCGGCACGGCATTAGCCCGCAGATCCACAATCGCGATCCCGCGGAAATTATCACTTTAATTGCACAAACTCCCGACTACGACGGCCGACGGGCTGCCCAATCATCATCACCTCCTCCGCTCCATCCTTTTCTCGGCCGTGGCTCGCCCTGGCTCGGCGAATTCTCTTCCACACAGCCCGCTGCGGCTGGAGCCACGGCCTCCGACTCGGGAGCCGGGCGAGCGGCCCTTGGTGGGGTGGGGTGAGGGGGGGGATCGCTCCAAGCCTCCCGACCTCCCGGCCGTCGTCGCTACTGCGGCGACGTTTAAAATGGAAACGCGCAAATGAACCCCTCGCTTTTCGTGAGCCAATTAGCGGCGGGGCCGCTCGGGGAGATGAGCAGCTGACACCGGCGCGGGCGTCTGTCAACGGCGCTTTAGACGCGCACGCGACGCCGCAACACTTTCCAGATTCTCCGAGGGCTTTTCCCCCCCTCCCTGCCTCTTACTCGCTCTCTCTCTTTCCGTGTCTCTCAAGATCCTGCACGCTCACCCCTCACTTGTCTCTTCACCTCTTTCCGTGTCTCCGTCTCACCCAGTCCCCACTGTCTCCACGTTCCTCCATGGACTAACACCACCCTCTCACCACCTCGTCCCACTCTCGCCACATTCCCCCCCCCCCCTCCCCGCTCCAGAAACCGAGGCCTCCTCCTGCCAACGCACGGACGGGTTCCCGATCCCACTTCCCACCCCCTCTCTCGGCGATCTTGCGGCACAAACCTGCGGCGTTCCTGTGGCCCCACGTGACGGAACCTCCAGGAGACAGGGGGTCCCCCGCTGATGCGGTGACCGTGCGTCGCGGTGGATCAGGGATCTGTGCCACGACGCGTCAACCCCGTGACCTCGTCCTCCCGTACACTTCTCAACGGGCACCTCGATCCGTGACCCCTGCGCCGCTCGACCCGCCGACCGGCCACGCTCGACTCTTCGGCAAGCAATTAAGACACCGAGACCGGAGCAAGAAGCGCGGGAGACGTTTATTGAAGTGAGCGCGCGGGGCCAGTCGCCCCGAGATTCATCGACCGGACTTCGACGGCCAAAACTCTTCTATAAAAACCTCACAGGCCGACTCCTTCCTCCTCCTCGTAAAAAATCCACCGAGATATTTGGCAAGCGCTGCGGCTATAAAAAAAATCACTGAGTTGCCGGGCTCTGCAGGAGCTTTGCTATGGGGAAAGCTCGCTGCGGTCGCGTGCTGAAGGGGGAGGGGGGTCCGCCGCTCCCCCCGGGTGCAATGGCTTTGTTTTATTTTAAACGCACAAATGTGTGCAAGCGAGCGAGCGAGAGCGGACGGAGAGGATTCTGACCGCGCGAAAGCCGCGTAGGGGAAGCGTGCGGTACCGGCCCTGGATTAATACTGAGAGGCACACGGCCGAGAGGGAGAGAGGCGTCCAGGGCCGTCGCGTTTCCCACACCTCCCCCCCCGACCCCCCCGACCCCCCGAAGCCCCAAACCCCCCCACACGACGGCTCGCGACGCGAACGCCTCCGCGTGGCGTGTCGACGTGCGGGCCGTCGTGGGGGGTGGGTGGGCGCTGGTGGAGAACCCTCGCCAGCTCCTCCGAACTCCTCCACTGGCGAGGCCCGACCGAGAACGTGGCGTCGGCATCGCTCCCCCCCCCGCCGCCCAGGCCGCACGGGAGACTACCGCGGTTGAGGGATTTCCGGCGGGTCGCTCGGGGCGGGGTGGGCGGGGGTGCCGTCACTTGGACGACTTGCGTCCGAGTTTGAGAGACTGCGGGGCCGGACCGCTGGGAGGCCCCGCCGCCGCCAGCGCCGACAGCGCGTCGCCGTCCTCCTCCTCCTCCACGAGGTCTTCGGCCGAGCCCCAGCGGCGCCGCCCGTGGCCGCCGCCGCCGCCGCCGCCGCCCCCCCCAGCGGCCCGCCCCCTCCCCTTGAGGGCTGCCCGCCGCTCCACGACGCGCGGTTGCCGGGGCCCCCCAGCTGCGCCGCTTGCGCCCCGGGGACCCCCGCGGGCCCCGCCAGGCTGGCGCGGTACGGCAGCAGCCCGGGAAGGCGCCGGCCAGCTTGCGCGATGATCGCTTGTCGGCGCGCATCGCTGCAGCGCGCACACGACACGGGAAACACGGAGGTTGTCACGGCAAACACGGAGGTTGTCACGGCACGGCATGGCACGCGGTTCTCCGAGTTCAGCGGTTCACCAGAGCAGCTCCGTTCAGTTGCACGTCACGCGGTTGCACACGCTGCCGCCCCCACGTGACGTAGAGAGACGCGGATGCAAAGACAAAGATCCCTCGCGTAGCCTTGAGCAGACTGCTTCAGCTTCCCACTCCCAGCCCCGCCCACTTCCCCCCCCCCCCGCCCCCCCCCCGGCATTTTGTCTGCTCGTCCTCTAAGCGTTTTCGCAGCACTCCGCTCCCCCACACCCCCCTCTCTATCTCTCCCCCCTCTCTTACCTATATAGCCTCTTGTTACAGCAGCCCTTTTGCCCACTTCAGCAATTGTTCCTTGCTGTGGTTGTCCCACCTGATGACGGACGCCCGTGGTGTTGCCCCCGAAACGTCGTGATTTAATTCATTTTATTTTCTACCTACCACGTGACTTTACCGAAAGAACCAAAGAGTAGGGATCCCTGCAGTCTAGATTGACTTAAACAGACAGTTGGGGCGAGCGCTGCTCGCGATCACTTATGCCAACACCACCCCAGTGCTGACGTTTTATAAACACCGCGCCAGGTACTTGTTTCAGCCTGAGTAGACCCAGGGGGTGGCCCGGTACCGGTTCAAATATTCGCCATCGATGTTGGCCGTGGAGCGGGAATCGAACTCGGGTGGCCGGGTTAGTAGCACGGCGCGCTAGCCGCTACGCTACCGGGCAGCGTGGGAGACGCAGTTTTATCAACGGAGCTCTGTCGTGTAAAAACACGACCACACCGCGGCCTCCTTCGCTCACGGCCAAGTCGTTTCGCGAGGGCGCGCGAAGCCGACGGTCGGCACGACAACTCGAATGGGCAGCCGGGGGGCAGCCGAGGGCAGCCGAGGGGCAGCCGAGGGCAGGCGGGCCTGTCACGACACGCACGCCGCACCCCAGGGTCGACTCGACCGTGGATCGGCGTGGTGCCGTCATTGTGAGACACGATCGATCCCCCGCGGGACTCTCACTGAAGGAGCTCAATAATAATCCGCGGGGGAAAAATCCACCTCGGGGTTTCCTCCCCCCCCCCCCTCCCCCGTCCCGTCCCGTCCCTTCAAAGAGCGTGGTTTTGATGCCGGGGGAGCGGCAGCTCGCGAAGAAAGCCGCGGAAATGAACGGCGGCACTGACATCAATAATTATGTCCCCAACGGCGGCGAGAGCGGGTCGCCGCCAGCACCACCTCCACCCGAGCGCCGCGGCTGCCCCGCCGGCGCTGGTTCCCGTTCGTGTTAACGCGGCGGCAAATCGCGGGGCGCGGCAATGCCATCGCCCCGGCGCACGCGCGTTGTGACGTTAAGCGCGACGCGCCCTGCTGACGACCAAGCCCACCGTCCGCGCCGACTGCGGCCGCCCCTCCCGTGCGCCACGAGCGGGGGCGGTAACGGTGCAGGTGGTGTCCCTTGCGCCTTTCTCGACGCACGTGTGCGTTGTGAGCCCGAGAACCTGACTATAGTTTAACACGTGAGAGGCTTTCGCGACCAATGTCATCCATAATGTAGGTTTTTTTTTGGATTAGATTGCGTACTTATACGTCCCGCGATCAAACCCCCCAAAAAAAAACCCCCTATATCATGAAGTTGACTATAATCGCCGAGCCGCGCGCTCGGAGGAGACACATGGGAGATGCGGGGGACACGCGTGGGAGATCCAGAAGAGGCGCGTGGAAGAGGCGAGGGAGACGCGGGGGAGACAAGCGGGAGACACGGGGGAGATACAGAGGAGATGCAGAGATGTGCGGGAGATGTGTGGGATACGTGGGGGAGACGTGGTGGAGACACGTGGGAGATGTATGTACGTATGTTGAACTTTGTTCGTACCATACGTAGCCAATCGTGTTAATCAGAGATGAGTGGGGAGACGCGGTGGGAGACACGGCGGAGGCTTACGTGTGGTGGGATTCGGTGTCACAGCCTCTTCGTCCCGGGCTTTGCCGTAATGCAACGCCAGCCGCCCACTGTAGTCACGCACGTCCTGGCGCACGCCTGGATCAGGGTAGGGGTCACGGGTGGAGGGGGCGGGGGGTCAAAGTCAGAGTCAACCGTGAGTGCACAAATCTCTCTGCTGTGATGAAGGGCCATTGAAGGCGAGCGTAGAGGTGAGTGGAGGTGGGTATGGAGGTGAGTGTAGAGGTGGGCGCTACACACGTAGGGTGGTGATGAGGAGTTCCACCATCTCTTCACGACTGTGGATGGTGGCGATGTGTAGCGCCGTGTAACCCTGCAACCACGCGCACAACCAAGAGAAACAAAGGTCCCCCGTGTAGTCTTAACAGACTGTTGGGGCAAGTGCTGTTTGGGAGTAACAGCACCTATGAAGGCCAGCAAGGCACACACGAGGGTGGGTGGTCAACACCACGCCCGGCTGCCTTTGTTTCCCTAGGGATGACGATTACACACTGCACAAGGTACTCATTTGAGTCGACCTATGGGAGGCCCAGGACTAGCTCGTCGGCAGTGTTGGTGGCCGTCAGCGGGAATCGAACTTGGGTCGTTGGGTTCGTAGTGCGGCACGTTAGCCACTGCACTACCCCTCCCCATTACACATAGCCACGTACACACACAGCCACGTACGGCCACACACAGCCACACACAGCCACTGAGAGGCTAGCCCCCATGGGGCCTTGGTGATGAAGGCCTTGCCTGGAGGCCTCCACTCCTCTCTCCATGCTCCGCGCCTTCATGCGGCAGATCTACATTTTACGGGGGGAGTGGGGGGGAGGGGCGCACGGTCCCCAGCTAACTCACGGTCTTGTTACCCCTGACAGCGGGGGGGGGGAGGGGGGTGGAGGGGGGGGGGGGGCCCCAGGGCTACGATCGTTCTGCGTCCGTGGAGAATTGGGCCGAAGTGCTTAAGATGGGCATTGATTTTTTCATAAATTTTTTCAAACGACCCAAAAGAAAACGCTCTCAATGTAGCGTGGCGCTGGAAAAAAAAAACCCCACAAAATCAAACACGCACGGATGGAAGCTCAGGAGCGGCGGGCGGTGGTCGGTGGTGGTAATTGTGGTGTTCATGGGAGTCTCGGGAGTCTGGGTTACGGGTGTTGCTTACCCCCTGCTCCGTGTGCCGTTGTGGAGACGTTGGGGGGACGCGGAAATGGCGAGGGCGCGGCCGCACAGGGAAACATGGCGGGGGGGGGGGGGTGGCACAGTTGGGGGGGGGGGGCTCCATTAGCACTGCTCCACGTCGCGGTAAATTATTCCTAAGAACTGCAGCGCGACTTAAACCCCACAACCGCTCGCACCGCTCTCATCCGCACGGTGTTCCCACCACGCCGCCGATGCCGCGGGTAGCCCGGGGCGGCACTACCGCCACCGCTAGTCACGCCCCCCCCCCCCCCCCCCCCCCCACGGCTTGCCTCCACATGCCGGACCGCCCCCCCCCACCCGAGCAACCGTCGCCGCCCAACGAAGGAAGCTCCGTAGGAAAAACAAGCGGTGGCTCGTTGCGAACGTTCGACAACGACGGCACAGCCTGCGCCAGCGAGCCTGGTGGGGGGCGAGGGAAAGCGTTAAAGCGGCCCTTCAATCCCCGCGTAAATCAGCTCCCGGGGAAATTACCCGGACGTCACTGTCAAAATATTACGGCAGCCCACGCGCGCTCGCAGTGCGCGGCGCGCGGGAGCGCGGAGAGAAAATGAACTTTTAATATTAATAACGCACGGTGACTCACGGAGACGGCGCGCTTTTACTCACGTGCTGCCAGGGCGCCGGCGACGCACGCGACGCACAGAGGCGGTGGCAGTGTCGGCCATCGATGAGCGTCGGGGAGCACGGGGGGAGGGGGGGGGAGAGAGGGAGATGGAGGGGGGGGGGGGAGAGGGAGGGAGATGGGGAGCAGAGAGGGAGGGAGATGGGGAGCAGAGAGGGAGGGAGATGGGGAGGAGAGCGAGATGGGGAAAAAGGGGAGGGAGATGGGGAGAAAGGGATGGTAACGGGGAAGAAACGGGAGAGTGAAAGGGAGGATCGGGGGAGAGAGGGGAAATAGAGGAGCGTGGAGTATGGAGCAGAGAGGGAGAAGCCGAGGAGAGAGGCACGTGGTGTGGGGGTGAGAGGGCACCACAGGAGCACAGGGGAACGGGGAGGGCAGGGATGAGAAGAGACATAATTAGTCGGTTAATCTCGTTTATCGCCCCATTCTTCTCCGCCGGGATGCTTGCACGTAATTAATACATCGAGGAAAAAAGAATAAACGGGTCGGGTCGGGTATATCATATCAGAATGGAATTATTTTTTTCCCCCAAACAGTTCGATCACTGGCTCATGAACGGACAAATTACCCCAGCGCCCCCACCCCCGCGCGTAATTTACACGCCCCTGGCAGCTCGCGTGTGGCTGCGTTGCGTCGTGGCCGGCCGGATTCAATTTCTCCCCGGCGCTCGCGCTGCTGCGGCCGCCCGGCGAGACAGCGGCGCCACCGCTGTGGCCAACGGTGACGCCAATGCCGCCGCTAACGGCCTGCGTTTATTTCGACGTTCGCTCGGCACCAGAGGTGGAATGCGAGGACGCAAAGAGCCCGGTAGGCGCTGGGAAGCAAGAAACGCGGGGACGTGGGGACAACGGGGATGTGGGGAGATGGGAAGATGGGGGAACGGGGACACTGGGACACGGGGACGCGAGGACATGAAGACACGGGGACACAGGGACACAGAGACACTGCGACACAGAGACACTGGGACGCAGGGACGCTGGGGCGCAGGGACACTGGGATGCAGGGACACTGGGATGCAGGGGCACTGGGACACAGAGACACTGGGACACAGGGGCACTGGGACACAGAGACGCTGGGACGCAGGGACACTGGGATGCAGGGACGCGGGGATGAGAGGACGTTGGGAGACAGATGGGGGCGGAGGGACATTGGGATAGGAGATGCTCAGACGTGGGGTCGCGGGGACTCATGGGGCTGCACGGCCTCACCTCCCTCCACCTCGCTCAAGACAGCGGCGGCAGATGGAGAAATAGTTTCACGGGACTGCTGAGCGGTAGCGCCGAATGGGGCTAGGGTTAGGTGTAGAGTTTAGGGGTAGGGTTAAGGAATGGGCTAGGGTTAGGGACGGGGTTTACCCGTGGTAGTTTAATTTCCATGTAGATCCAGTCTTTCCCATACAAGGTTAGGGTTAGGGCTGATTCGAGAGCGGGGGGACATGGCTCTGCAGTCGCAGTAGTGGCGGCAGTGGCAGCAAGGTGCTAGCGGTGGTGGTAGCGGTTGTGTTGGTGGTGGTGGTAGTGGTGGTGGTGGTGTTGGTCATCATGATGTTGTTGGCGGTGGGTGGAGGCGGATAGCGGTAGTTGTGGTCATGGAAGTAAACAGTGGCTCGGCCGTGAATAGTGGTGGCGATGAAAGGTGGTGACGGTGTTGGCGGTGAATAGCGGCGGCGGTGAATAGCGGCGGTTGCGGTAGCGGCGGTTGCGGTAGCAGTGGTTAGCCCCCCGCTTGGCGCTACGCCCGCCACCAGCGCGTTCCCCGCTCCGACGGCGCGCGGCGCATTATTGGCTCGTGATTTAGTTTCCGGCTGACGGCTCCTGTTTAGCCGCGCCATTACCCGCGGGCTGGGAGTTAATTAGGTAATTACAGGGGATGGGATAGAGCTGTTGAGACGGCCCCTCCCTCTCCGCGACTGACCCCCCTTCACTCCCCCCAGCCCCCGCTCCCTCCTCTCCCCGCCCGTCCACTGCGCCACACGGGACGCTCTCACCCATTCCGCTAACGACTCGCGGCACCCAATAAAAAACAACATTCACACACACATGCAGACAAGGCCCAGGACAGGTAAAAATAATCGTCACTGGTGTTGGTCGTGAGCGGGAATCGAAATCGGGACGCTGGGTTTGTAGGGCAGCGCGCTAACCGCGACACTACCGCTCCCCCAAGCACACACGGTGGCGGGATGTTAACTCCCTCGCCTGGTACACAGGAGGTCATAGGTTCAATCCCGATCTTGACGCCTGTATATTTGGAGTTTGCGTGCCGCTCTCCCCGTGGTCGCGTGGATTTTTCTCCGGGCCCTCCCGGGTTTTTTTCCCCTCCACATTTAGAATTAACGTCACGCGTTTTAGAGTATTTGCCTGCTATAAATTTCCAGACCATGATAAGCCACTTCGTTAAGCTATCATTTGTGGTCAGGTCGCTTTTGAAAGAGAGCTGTATAAGCTCAGTGGGTCTTACCTGTTATTATAAAATATAGTTAAGTTTTAGTTTAGACACACAGGCACAAAAAACAAAAGACACACACAGACACCTGCCCAGGGAAGGAACACACAGAGGTCCACACGCACCAGAGAAGTCACCCTCCCCCCCCCCCCCTTTCAAGCCCCCCCCCGCCCTCCACCGCACTGCCTCCCTCCAACGAACGCACGAACGCGCGGCGTTTAAACAAATTAACCCGAGCACATAAACATCGCGGGGAACGTGGGGCTGGCAGCTCCCGGCGGCGGAGCCATCGCATCTCCGCGGAGAGTTCTCTATTTACAAAACGCGAGCGCAAACACACAAACAACGGGGGGGGGGGGGGGGGCCTTCGCCGGCCGGGCCACGCTTGCCGCTCGTCTCCCCCCGTCCACCCGCCCCGAGTTTCTTCATCCGCAGCTGCACGAGGAGTTTGAAGCTCGACCAACGTCTTTCGCATCGCCGCGGGATGGTGTGACCCGGGGGCCTCCATGATGCTCGCCCCCGGCATGTCACCCTCAGCACGTCACGTCACCCCCGGCACGTCACTGTCGCCTCCAGCAAAACGTCACGTCACCCCCAGCACGTCACGTCACCCTCAGCACAACGTCACGTCACCCCCAGCACGTCACTGTCACCTCCAGCACAACGTCACGTCAACCCCAGCATAACGTCACGTCACCTCCAGCACGTCACTGTCGCCTCCAGCACGTCACGTCAACCCCAGCATAACGTCACGTCACCTCCAGCACGTCACGTCACCCTCAGCACAACGTCACGTCACCCCCAGCACGTCACTGTCACCTCCAGCATAACGTCACTGTCACCTCCAGCATAACGTCACGTCACCCTCAGCACAACGTCACAATGTTACCCCCAGAACGTCACAACATCATCCCCAGTACCACGTTACGTCACCCCCGGGACAACGTCACTCCCAGTTCAACGTCACAACGTCACCCCCAGCACAATGGTACGTCGGTCTAAGGACACGGGGCACTAACAGAGTACGGCGTGTTTACGTGGCACCTTTATAACTGGGCATGCCGCTATAACGGGGTGTACCATTATAACGTAGTGTGCCACGATAACAAGGGGTGCCGTTATAATAACACACCATCGTTATAACGGGGTGCTGCGATTATAACGAGGCGCCACCGTTATAACAGGACACCGTTATAACCGGTCATGTTGCTCTAACGGGCTGCCGCCGTTATAACGGGGCGTGCCGTTATAGCGGCGCGCCTCCGCGTCTCACCGAGCGAGCGTTCACGTCCACCCCGGCCTCTGCCACCAGCGTCGCCGTCTCCACGCTGCCGTGCTTCGCCGCCCAGTGCAGCGCCGTCTGCCAGAGACACGCACCGTCACCAGCAGCAGCCAGGGTCTATCCACTGCTGGATAAAGGCCGCCGCTCCCGGGTTTCGCAATTCAGCAGCGGCACTTCCATCATCGCCGCGCGAGTGGATCCGGTTGCCACGTTCTGCCGTTAGCCTCGGCCGCCGGCCACCGTCCCATCCAGCCGTGACGCATGCTGACCAAGTCCCACTGGCTTTTCATAAACGATTGATTTACTGCTGCGGCTGCGTTGGCAGTGGTGCACGAGAACAAATAGCAACGAATTCAACTCGTTCATCTATAACAACACTGTGTGTGTGGCCTTAAAAGGACTACTACATAAACAGGCGACTTTTCGGGCAATTCTTTGGAGCAAGGACACGCATTTGGGTAAACTTAAATGAGAAAACACAACAAATACAATTTTCTCCGCACTCGTCGATGTGACGACTATAACTGGCTGCGCTCACCTGTCGGTTAACCCCGCGGTTAACCCCGGCGCTCCCCGGGGTTAACCGCGGGTTAACCGACAGGTGTGTGAGGATCGGGGCTAACAGCAGTCCACCGAGCGTGCCGGGGTAACTTCTGAGCTGCAGCGCTACTCGGTTAACCGCGGGGCTGATGGCCGGGTGAACGAGGATCGGAGCTAAACGCAATCCAGGAAGCGCGACGGGGTAACCGCGGGTTAAACCGCGGCGCCACCGAGCCTGCGCCGCATCGTTCGCGGAGGTGCGAGGCAGCGGGGGACGGTGGGGGGAGACATCGAGAAACGTGAGATTCCCGGGAAGAGCCTGAGCCCGAGATAATCGGGTTTTGGGAAGGAGCGAGGAGCTAGCGACGTGAGCGAGTGGCGCTAATGCCATCAAGGCCACGCTGAGAGACCCACCCCCCCCACCTCCGTTCCCCATGCTCTTTGCATAAGCCGATCCACGGGGCGCTGAGCGCGTGCGTGTGTACGAGAGTGTGTGTGAGAGTGAGTGCGTGAGTGTGGATCTGTGAGCGTGTGGTGAGTGGTAGTGCAGCGGTTATCGCGCTGCGCTACACACACACACTCTCTTTCACGTGAACCCATCCACTCACGTGAACCCACAACACACTCACGTGAAGACGCACGTGCACGCACTATCACGTGAGCAGGTTGGAGGAGACACTTACAAACTGAGGTTGGAGAGAAGAGTCGCCCCGGGTGGCAGTGTCGCAACGGCAGAAAAAGGGACGAGAAACAGTTAACGGTCAGAAAATCACCTCCACAACAGCGGTACGCAAACACACACACACACACTCTAACACGAACCCACACACACACACTCTCTCTAACACAAACCCACACACACACACACTCTCTCTCTCTAACACGAACCAACACACACACTCTCTCTAACACGAACCCACACACACACACACTCTCTCTAACACGAACCAACACACACACTCTAACACGAACCCACACACACACACTCTCTCTAACACGAACCCACACACACACACTCTAACACGAACCCACACACACACACACACTCTCTCTAACACGAACCAACACACACACACACTCTAACACGAACCCACCCACACACACTCACTCTAACACGAACCCACACACACACACTCTCTAACACGAACCCACACACACACTCTCTAACACGAACCCACACACACACACTCTCTCTCTAACACGAACCCCCACACACATACTCTCTCTAACACGAACCCACACACTCTCTCTCTAACACGAACCCACACACACACACACACTCTCTAACACGAACCCCCCCCACACACACACTCTCTATAACGTGAACACAAACGCACACACTCTCTATAACGTGAACCCACACGCGCTGCTATCAGCGGTTACCACCCACGCGCGCGGCACCGCCGGCCGAGACACGAGCCCAGGGTGGGAACGCCGTGCGCGTGCGGCAAGCCTCACTCGACACCCGGTCCTGCGGCCCACAGCACCGCTCTCACCGGCCGCCCGGTGGTTCGCTCGGTGAGAGCGGCCGTCGGGCCTGACTCTCACACCAGGCCTCCCCCCTCCCCACCGCCCCCCCCCATCCAGCCCCCCTGTGTTTACGGTAAACATCCAGCGGCGGCCCCGACGCGTCGCCGCTGAGTGACTCTTTCCTGCGTCTTTAGCGAACGCGTGGAGCGTGGCGGCTGTGGCCAGGGAGGGGGCGCAGCCAGAGAATTACTCCCTAGCTGTACCCATATAACCCCCCCTACCATTAGGACTCTAGCTATCTACCCCTCTACCCCTACCATGAGACTCTAGCCATCTACCCCTCTACCCCTACCATTAGACTCTAGCTATCTACCCCTCAACCCCTACCATTAGACTCTAGCTATCTACCCCTCTACCCCTACCATTAGACTCTAGCCATCTACCCCTCAACCCCTACCATTAGACTCTAGCTATCTACCCCTCTACCCCTACCATTAGACTCTAGCTATCTACCCCTCTACCCCTACCATTAGACTCTACCCCTCTACCCCTCTACCCCTACCATTAGACTCTAGCCCTCTACACCTACCCCTACCATTAGACTCTAGCCCTCTACACCTACCATTAGACTCTAGCCCTCTACACCTCTACCATTAGACTCTACCCATCTACCCCTACTATTAGACTCTACCCATCTGCACCTACCCCTCTACCCCTACTATTAGTCTCTACCCCTCTACCCCTACCATTAGACTCTACCCCTCTGCACCTACCCCTACCATTAGACTCTACCCCTCTGCACCTACCCCTCTACCCCTACCATTAGACTCTAGCCCTCTACACCTACCCCTCTACCGCTACCATTAGACTCTACCCCTCTTACCCTCTACCCCTACCATTAGACTCTACCCCTCTGCACCTATCCTACCATTAGACTCTACCCCTCTGCACCTACCCCTCTACCCCTACCATTAGACTCTACCCCTACCATTAGACTCTACCCCTCTGCCCCTACCCTACTATTAGACTCTACCCCTCTGCACCTACCCCTCTACCCCTACCATTAGTCTCTACCCCTCTGCACGTACCCCTCTACCCCTACCATTAGTCTCTACCCCTCTACCCCTCTGCACCTACCCTACCATTAGACTCTACCCCTCTGCACCTACCCCTCTACCCCTACCATTAGTCTCTACCCCTACCATTAGACTCTACCCCTCTGCAACTACCCTACCATTAGACTCTACCCCTCTGCACCTACCCCTCTACCCCTACCATTAGACTCTAGCCCTCTACACCTACCCCTCTACACCTACCCCTACCATTAGACTCTAGCCCTCTACACCTACCCCTCTACACCTACCCCTCTACCCCTACCCCTACCATTAGACTGGAATGATGGGGTGGGTGCTGGATTCTTCTCTGGGTCCTCCGGTTTTCCCCTCCACATTTAGAAACATGCGTTAAACTATTTGGCACTTAAACATTTCCACGTAAGCCACTTTGTTGAGCTATCATTTGTGGCCAGGTCGCTTCTGAAAAAAAGCGAAATAGCTCAGTGGGCCTTACCTGGTAAAATAAAAATAGTTTAAAGGTTTTTTTGTTTGTTATAGGTGGTAGTTGTAGGGGGCTGGAAGAGAGATGACGGAGATGTTGGTGGTGGTGGCGGCCGTGGTGGTGCAGCTGTCGTTGCCGCTGCTGGTGGTGGCGATGGCGACGGCAGTGGGAGGGATAGAGGGGGTGGAAGAGAGATGACGGAGGTGTTTGTGGCGGTGGCAGTAGCGGTGGTAGCCGTGGTGTCGCCGTTGTTGCTTGTGTAGGTGGCGGCAGTGGTGGTGGTGTCACATTGTTGTTGCTGTTGCTGCTGGTAGTGGTGGTTGTGAAGTGGGGGGGGGGGTGGTGGATCACGCTGGAGATGACAGAGCTGTGTGTGGCGGGGGGGGCGGGCTCCTGGGTGTGTGTGGGAGCTCCCCCCGTGGCTTCAAACGCCTCTCATCGCGGCCGCTTTGTGAGCGGCCGGGAGTCAATGGCGCGAGAAGTCCCATCGGCCTTTGTTTAGAAGAGGCTAAAGGAGCTTTCTGATCCCAAATCCGGCCACAAACACCCAGAGCTCCCTGAGCATCACTGACCCTCACCCCCTCACCCTGCTCACCCCCAACCCCCCCCTCCCCCACCTCCTCACCCCTCTACCCTCACTCTTGCACACCACGTGACAATTGACTTCGTATGGCTGCGTTGGGTGGTGGAGGCTCTTAACGACACAGATTTGGTCAAATTATCTGCTGATGTTGCTGCTGCTGTGTTGACAGTGGTGGGCAAGCACGATTAACAACGATGCCACCCAGCCGGATCGTGAGTAGAGGCCACCCTAACCACGGTGCCACCCAGCCGGATTGTGAGTAGAGACCACCCTAACCACAGTGCCACCCAGCCGGATTGTGAGTAGAGGCCACCCTAATCACGGTGCCACCCAGCCGGATTGTGAGTAGAGGCCACCCTAATCACGGTGCCACCCAGCCGGATTGTGAGTAGAGGCCACCCTCACCACGGTGCCACCCAGCCAGATTGTGAGTAGAGGTCACCCTCACCACGGTGCCACCCAGCCGGATTGTGAGTAGAGGCCACCCTCACCACAGTGCCACCCAGCCGGATTGTGAGTAGAGGCCACCCTCACCACAGTGCCACCCAGCCGGATTGTGAGTAGAGGTCACCCTAACCACGGTGCCACCCAGCCGGATTGTGAGTAGAGGCCACCCTAACCACGGTGCCACCCAGCCGGATTGTGAGTAGAGGCCACCCTAACCACGGTGCCACCCAGCCGGATTGTGAGTAGAGGCCACCCTCACCACGGTGCCACCCAGCCGGATTGCTAACCCACAGAAGGCGCTTTTCAACTGTGCAGAGAACTGATGAAACTCCATCGATAACCAAGTGAAATGTTCAATGTGACTTGGATGAATATAAATCCCACAACAACTGGACACACTAGTTATCACTAACACCAAGTGTGTGTGTGTGGCCTTAAAAGACAAAACGTGTAATCGGCGATAATCAAGCAATGGCGCTTTTGCATGGCACACGTGCTTTGCAGAACGGCTCTTACATCATGCATGTGCCTGAAGAAGGTCCACTACCTGAAACGTCGGCCATTATATATTATTTTAAGGGCACATGGTGTCATTGATGAGTGTGCCAAATTTGGTCAGAGCACTGCGAGGCATATTCATATTATCTGCACTTGAAGATAACTGCGTGGGTGATAGGGAGTGATTTTTGTTTCTGATCAAGGGGCCCACCGATAGTGCACAGCACACCCCTGCGGACGAGAGGAGGGCGACGGAGTGTAGCCACTGGTGGAGCCAGTGGGGGGGGGGGGGGGGGGGGGGGGGGGTGGGGTGGCACGTGCCCCCCCAATGATCCGATCGAAATCCCTAATTTCGATCGGATCATTGGGGTTTATAAGTAATAAATCGGCATTTTGTGACCCCCACTGCCACTGTGTAGCATATTATTACGTGCCAGGGACTCTATGAGATGATAGGACAATAGTCCGAGTCCGTAATTGGCAATAAGTAACGGAAAAGCAGCTATAAGTGACTCAAAGAATTGTGCGCAGTTGCGTATACAGTACACGACTTCCCTGAAGGCAAACACCTTCAGCGGGCGCGATGCCGATCACACACGGTTCGAATTCGACCCTCGATAGATGGCTGCGCCATCGCCGCACACACGTCGAATAAAAGGCAAGGGAACAGTCCTTACTTACGAACAACTCCTGTAATTTTTCATTGCTGGAGGGGTTGCCCCCCCCCTACCTGAAAATCCTGGCTCCGCCATTGAGTGTAGCCATTGAATTGGGAAACAGGAGGCCGTGGGTTCGATCCCGACCCTGACACCTGCTGTATATTTAGAGTTTGGGTGTGTCTCTCGCTCTCCCCGTGGTGAGATGTTAACTACCTCGCCTGGTGTACAGGAGGCCGTGGGTTCAATCTCGACCCTGACGCCTGCTGCTGTATATTTGGAGTTTGCGTGTCTCTCCCTCTCTCTCCCCACCGTCGCGTGGATTTGTCTCCGGGTCCTCCCGTTTTACCCCTCCACATTTAGAATCAACATCACGTGTTTAGAGTACTTGGCTGCTTTAACATTTTCACGTGATGATTGTAAGCCACTTCGTTGGGCAATCGTTTGTGGCTAGGTTGCTTCTGAAAAAGAGCTACGTAGCTCTAGAGCACGGCAGCTACTCACCCCCTGCAGGTGGATCCAAGGTGAGCATATCCACAGGTGAGTTCATCCCCAGATGAGCCCATCAACAGGTGAGTTCGTACACAGGTGAGTCAGTCCGCAGGTGAGTTCATACATAGGTGAGTCGGTCCACATGTGAGTCAGTACGCAGGTGAGTCAGTATGCAGGTGAGTCAGTCCACAGGTGAGTCCATACAAAGGTGAATTAGTACACAAATGAGTCCGTACACAGGTGAGTCCATCAACAGGTCACTCAGTACACAGATGAGTCAGTACACAAGTGAGTCCGTCAACAGGTGAGTAGGTACACAGGTGAGTCCATCCACATGTGAGACAGTATACAGGTGAGTCGGTCCACAGGTGTGCCATTACGGAGGTGAGACGATCCACAGGCGAGTCCACGGCCGGCAGCCACCGAGGGGACGGAGGTGTCGACAGAAGAGGGGGCAGCATGGAGGGGGAGTGGGAGAGAGACCATGATCAGCTTCTCACAAACGACAATAAACAGGGCGATGGGGGCGAGGGAGTGCCCCTGGACAGCCTGTACCCCCCCCCTCCACCTGCCGCCACCTCCCATGCTCCGCTCAGGACAGCGTGTCTCTCCCTCCGCTCCCCGCGTCGCGAGGCCCACGCACGAGAGGGGGCGGGGACCTCCATCGCGCGCCCCCCCTACGGCTCGAGCGCTGCAGTAAACGTGCGGCGCCCGCTCACTCGCTCGCTCGCTCCCGTTCGCGCGCACTCACACGGCGGACCTGTGTCTGAGCTGGCACGGGACCGCCCCTTTCCTGCCTTTCTCCGTCGTCAGTCCTTCACTCTGTTCTTCCCCCCATCCTTCTCAATCAATCTTAGCTAACCTTCTCCATCCTTCCCAATCCTTCCTCGTCCTTCCCCGTCCCTACCTGTCCTTCCCACCCACACTTTCCAGTCCTTCATTCCCTTTCCTGGTCCTTCCCCCATCCTTCCCCATCCTTCCGTGCACCAGTCTCACATCCGAGATACATCCACGAAACGGGTCGGCCAAGAATCCGCTGAAACGCCCGGTCGTTAATTGCATTGGTCTCTTCGAACGCTTTTTTTTCCCCCTTAGCTCATCCCACGGCCCCTTAATCTCCCCATTCTGACCACTACCGTTCCTGTCCCTCTCTCACAATCTCTCTCCTCACGGCCTCCGCTCAGTCCCCATCCATCCAATCATTTTGCTCGTCATTTGTTCTTTTACATAATTCACGCAATTTAAGGTTCGCCCATTACTTCCTCTCATCTATTTTCTTCACCTCATCCTAACCGTCACATGCGCACGTACTACCGTCAACTCTCTTTCAAATGCCTTGGTCAAGGCGCCATATAAATGACGATAAGATTGTGATGATGTCACACGCACCTCCAATTATCACGGTTGGCTATGTACGGTGCGAAAGAAGTTCAACATCAGTTTAACACGTAGGCTTTCGCGACCAATATTATTCATAATAAAGGTTTTCGGGTGAGATCGCGTTATTTATAAATGTGTCGTAACCCTCCACCACCCGACACGGCCAATCAGCAAAAAAGTGTCACATTGACAAAAGCCAAATAGTTCACTACTTTAGCCCACCGGTGTGTTGAAGAGTGAATCCACAACATTTACAGTTTGAGTACGACGTTTCGCTGGCAATTACATTCAGCATCATCGGGCAATTCGCCAGAATGGAAAAGCCCTCACTTGCTCCCGGTCTTAAATTGAGCAGCATGAATGAGTTAAATGAAGTTCAACATACTTACATACTTCCCCATCTTTCCCCGTCCTTCCCCATCCTTCCAACTCCTTCCCTACCCTTCGCCCAACACAGATAAAGAACGTGTAGCATAACCACACCCCTCTCGCTCGTTTCGGGGGAGGTCAGCAGGGGAGCCAGCGGGGAAGCAGGGGCTCCGATTCCCCGAGGATCCGGCACAAAACTCGCGACGGCACGGGGAGGGGTGCTTCAGGGCACTCGGGGAGCGAGCAAATCCTTCGCAGACGGTGCGACTTAGCCTCCTCTCCCAGTTGCTCGACTCACCCCCCATCACCCCCCCCCCCCCCCTCGTGTGGTAATTAGCGCAGGGAGCAGCGGACGGAGCCTGGCGGGCGGCGTAGGTGGGCGGAAGGGGTGGGCAGAGGGTGGGGGGGCTGGTGGGACAGGGGTGTGAATTCACAGCGGCTCTAGGAGCCAGGAGCCAAGGCTTAGAGAGGCCTCATCCAGGGCGGTCACAGCAGGCCCAGATGTTGAGGGCCGGTTCGCTAGCTTGCCCCCCCCCCCTATCCCCCCCCCCCACCCCCCCCGTGCTCGCTCCACTTAAGAGGATTAGGCGGATCGCTCAGCGTGGCGCGCCCCTCCGTGTTTACCCCCAAATCCAATTTGGACTTTGTTTCCTTTTCTCTCGGCCGCTAACGGGGCCCAGATGCTCGGCGGGGCCGATCTGCGCCGCGTAGGGGGCAACCCTCGGCGGAGCCCGGAGCCCGTGGTGTGGACTCTTTTACCGCCGCCACCGCCGCCACCGCCGCCACCGCCGCAGGAGCAGCAAATCCCTCTGTTTATACATCTGGGCTGCTAATGTTGCAGTAATCCGCTTCCTTCTCCTATAAGAGATTTTTAAGCGGCATTTAAAAAAAAAATTTAGTTGGGGGGTGCAACAGCCGGGGGAGTAAAGCGACGGTAGCAGCTGCTTGCGCGCGTTTCAGGTGGTGGCCGGAGATGCCTCGGTTCAAAAGAAAAGTAGCAGAGCTCCAAATGCTGCTGCTGTCGTTGACCAAGGCGCTTGTGATTTTTCTCTCGGCGTTGCCGATGGGCGCAAATTTGGCGACGCCATCCAAACGCCGGGGCTGCGCGGGCGGCCGAGCGCGGCGCTGCCGTGAGCCACGGCAACGGGGACTGATGCCGCCGCTGGTTAAATAATTAACGAGTCAATTTCTAACGAGGGGTCCTGCTCCTCGGCCCTCCTCGTTAAAGCAGCCGAGACAGCGGCCTGAAAGGGTCACCGCGAGGATCACAGATTACCGGGGAAAGCGACGATTTAATTAATTGCCGAGATCTGATCTCACCATTACATCCAACAATTGGGTTAATTTTTTAAACGGAGTTCTTCCCGCATCGCTTATATTGGGTTCTCATGTTCCACCGCCCCCACCCTCCACCATCTAATATCCGCGGTTTTATCTGCTGCACTCAGCCAGATTGTACCGCCCGCGTGTCATTTGCGTGTCATTAGGGTGTCACCTGTGTAGAATCTACACGAATCCGTGTAAATAATCTAACGTCTCGTGCGCACACACGCACGCTCGATTTGACGTACGCGTCGGTGAGGAAGGGAACTGACGTTGAGTGACGAATCGGATTAAAATCGTGACCACGTCTCGTGAATATTCAGGAGCTCGGCTCGTCCGCTAAAGCATTGGGGGGGGGAAGGGAAATACGAGACATCCTAGCACCAGTTGTGGCGGTTGTAGTGATTGTGGCGGTCGCACCGGCAGGGAGCGACTCTTACCGACGTGAAATCCTGGCACAGGGACGGAGTCCGGGGAAAAGGCCCAGGGGCCCAGGATCCGCGTCCACACGGTCGACATGAGGAGAGAGGCACAGACAACGCAGGTCAGGGGGCGGCACCATGCTGAGGCCTCGCGGTCACAGCACCAGGGACATGACCACTGCCAGCCATTGCCATCACCAGCAACTGCACCATCACCACCAGACACAGCCACCACTGTCGCCAGCAGCAAACGCACTGCTATCAACACCGCCAGCAGTCATATCGCCATGAGCAACTTTAGCATCGCAAGTAGCTGTACCATCACCGACCTCCACACCATTACATCCGTCAGCCACCAATATCGCCAGTCCTTACGAGCAACCGCACCATCACCGCCGCCAATTCTCATCACTACGCTGGGCGCGCAACAACGCGTCGGCTGTCTAGGCAAACTCCTGGCAAACCACGCGCTCTTTGGACCAAATAACTGAGAAATAAAATACAAACGTGGCGGTTGAAACGAGAGCAAAAAAAAAGAACAATGATCCTCAAGCAGCAGCTCGCGACAAGTCACCGAATCGCCGGAGCTGCAACTCCTTACGCAGCCGGGCGTGACGATTAAGATGACGGTAATGACGGCGGTGTTGCCGATAACTCTGCTGATGCTGCTGATGGTGACGATGATAGCGACTGGTGATGATTGGCGCACTGACACTCGAGATGCAGAAGCAAATACGGGGAGGTGAGGGGGGGACCAGGAACCCCAGCGAGCTGCTGACAGACCGATGTTTGTTTACACTCACCGGGACTGACTCACACCACCGACTCACACGGCCCACCCCCCCACGCCACCCACACACACACACACAGAGCCCCCCATAGGTGAACCCCTCCCCCGCCTCATTTCCAGGTCTCATGCAGCCCCAACGGCGGTGCCAATGCCTGAGCCGTATTCTTGAGAAGGTGGATCGAGCGATCACCTTTTGCCCGTGTCATTACCACTGTAATCGTGGTTTTTTTCATTCGTTGGGATTACACAGACAGACGCAATCATCGCCCCCTGCTGGCAGACTAACGCCCGCTTGCAGGCCCACTACCCCGAGCAACCACGTGCCACACAGGGACACAGCTGCCAGTCGGGATGCCCCAGGCCAGACCACGCAAATAAAAATCATCGCCTCCCCCCCCCCCCAAAGCTAAATGGTGGACTTAACGCCCGCTTGCAGGCCAGCTCCTGAGGCGGCTTCTACTGCACAGGGACAGCTACTGCCGGGGCGGGGGGGGGGGGGCGGTCACCGTTCACCGTTCAAAACCTTGTTGAGACGAGGAGACGCGATGAGGTAAAACCGCTACGAGGCGCCACGGTGCACAGGAGGGCCCCGCTCTTGATCAAAAACGCAAAACCACTCCCCGCTGTCGTCATTAACGCTCGTCCGCGTGGCTGTGCTGCCGATCGGGGCCTGAATAAACTCCCGGTGCCCTCACGCTTCCAGTGGGACTCTCAAGGGGGGGGGGGGGGCAATCGCCGAGGCCTAACTCAGGCCGTGGCGGTCGCGCACCGTGAGTCCGCACACGGGGTGAGGGAGGGCGGTGGGGGTGGTGTCGGGGTGGGGGGGGGGTGCCGAAGTGGGGGGGGGGGGGGGGGGGGGGGGGGGCGGTGACCCCAACTGAACACGCGCGGTTGCGGCTGTCTTTTGTAAACGGACCGCGCGTTGCCGCCTCGGCGCTGCCGCTCCTGGAGGGGAAAACCCGAGCTGAGAACTCGAGTAACGGGCAACGAAAATAAACAAGAGGAGAGCGCTTCGACGCCCACGTGCGCACACTCCCGACCTGCACAACCGGCGTGGATTGCGTGGCACACGATGGGGGGGGGGGCGGCGGTGGGTTAGCGCACTGCACGCCACGAAGCCGGTGAAACCGAGTTCGGTTCCCCGCTCACGGCCCAACATCGGTGACGGATATCGGAACCGGTCCTGGGACTCCGCTATGGCGGTGCGTAAACGTCAGCACTGGGGGAGACAAAGGTGGCCAGGCGTGGTGCTGGCCACCAACCTTTTCGTGTGCCATGCCGGGCTTCATACGTGCTCGCAAACAGCACTCGCCCGAGCTGTTCCCCTCACAGCATGCTCGCAGCCGCCACAGTGGCCAATGGGGGACTCGGGACGAGTGCCAGTTGCCGGTGACCCCTCCACCTTTAATTAAATTACCACAAAACCACGGAGAAAAGAACAAAACAAAACGCACACGCAAAGAGAGAGATCGCCCATTTAGCCTTTACACACTGTTGGGGCAAGTGCTGTTAGCAAGCACCTATGAAGCCTGGCATGGCATACGAGGGGGTGGGTGGCCAACACCACGCCCGGCCACCTTTGTCTCCCTAGCGGCGATGTTTTACACTTTGCAACAGGTGTTCATTCGAGGCTGAGTCGGCCTAGGACTGGTTCAGATAATTGTCACTGGAGTTGACCGTGAGCGGGAATCGAACTCGGGTCGCCGGGTTCGTAGCGCAGCGCACTAACCCACTGCACAGCCGCTCCTCACTAACACACGCACGCACAAACACACACACACGTACGCAGCAACACTTGCACACGCACACACAAACACACACACACGTACGCAAGCAACACTCGCACACACAAACAGCAGCACCCCAGTGACGGGAGCTCCTCTCTGCCACAATCAATCACGGCGGTAATGGAATGTCAGCAGGCGGTAATTAGTTTGCTAATTAACAGGGGAGGGGGGGTGCCGCTTCCCGCTGTCTGCGGTGCGCGACCACCCGCTGCTCAAGAGCAGCACCTGAGTACGTGAGTGGCGGTGGGGAGGGGAGCAGGTCGCAAGGGGGACCGGGGGGAGTGCAGAGAGGAAGTCATGGGTTCACGAGCAGCGCAATAACCCGGTGGCCCTCAACAGTTCAGACTCTCACCCGTTCAGGCCCTCACCCGTTCAGGCCCTTACCCGTTCAGGACCCTCACTCGTTCAGACTCTCACCTGTTCTATGGGCCATAAAGTAAACTGCTCTATTCTGCACTACTTCAACGATGGAAGTACAGCATAACGACACAAACTCTCTCTCTTTCCTGAAGCTCTCCGCGTTGAGGCCAGCAGCAGCAACTCGACGTTGACATCGAGCTCCTGAACAACGTCGCTGCATGCGAGCGCGGCACCGCTGGCGCTCGGTGATCTCGGCAGGGAGTTTTTGGTCGAGCTCCAGGCATGGGACCCCGACTCTCACGGCTAGTATCTCGGCAGGCAGGGAGCCGCAATCACAGCTGCTGGTGCTGCTGCTGCTGCTGCTGCGGTGTTGGCGGAAATTCACGCGGCTGGATGAGCACTTGTATCCCTAGGCCCCATCGCGACAATACCGCGCTCTGCGGTGACGGCGGTGATTGTTGTGGTTCAGAGCGCGTTGCAGTCAAGGGTTCAACCTCGCCAACAAAAGCACGCGCGGTGTAATTCCTTGGTGTTGGCCAAAACGTGGCAATGTAAAAAAATTGCACCTGGATATATTTACTGAGTTGGCGCCCCGGGTTTTGACCGTCGACCCGTACGTTCTCCCCCCGCTGTTCTGCATGGGTGTCCTCCGTTGTTCTCCAGTTTGCTCGCACAGCTTAAAAAATAACCCATACAGGGAAACTGGTATTGGCCAAACAACGTCCGAGAGCAGTTTTCTTTTTACATTTCGGGTCACACACACACACACAGAGCGCCCACGTCACCACTCCCCCTACTCCTGCCAAAAAAACTCGGCATGGCCCTCCTGAAAAAAGAGTCCTGAGACTAGGTGAGGCATTCCCAGGTGAACAAGCAGAACATTCAGAATAAGTAGTGGTTTGCTGGGGTGATACGGGACGATGCCAGAGACTCGGTCAATATCGTGCCTGCCACGAGGCAAGCATTATTCATCAACCGGCTCGCTCGTCCAACAGGACACCCATCCCCTGCCTGCTCATCCCTACGCGTCGCCCCGTCTCTCCGCACGCAACGCTCTCCACGTTCATCCCAGAAGTCACCATCCCCCCGCGTGTTCATCCCAGCATTGCCCATCACTGCCCACAACTCATTCCAGGATCACCCATCATCACGTCACCACCACCCCCTTCCTCGTCCGCCCTCTCACTCGCTCGCTCGCTCGCGAGTTACCAACTAATAAAACGTCAGTGGCTGCTCGCAGACGCTCGCCCGCATGCTCCCCCGCACGCTCGCACGCAGAGGAAAAAATAACGCGGACAACTCGAGGGGAGAGGAGGCGCGGACCAGGGACGATTAACAGGCGCCGTGCCGCGCCGCTGCCTCCTCAATGAGGGGCACGGGACGGGGCGGCCGTTCGTCTCGCCACGGAGCGCGCAAACGCCCGCCCGCCTGCCCGCCCGGGGGCGGCCGTATTACTTACAGCGGCCCGCCAGCGCCGATAAGCCTGCCGTGCGGCAGATAAGGCGCGATTGGATTTAAGGGGCGAGTGAAGTTGTAACGGGGAAATGCGGCGAGAGTAATTTGGCCGGGTACAGATAAGGCCGACAGCAAACTGCTTTCAGATTATTAGTTTTTCTTTATTTCTCGAGCCGGGTTTTGACGACAGGGCGAGCGATCGAGGGCGAGAGAATCCGGGGCGAACCCCCTTCTCCATCCCCCACACTGCCGCCCCCCCCCCCACCCCCACACTCCGCCGCCACCATCCCCCCGTCCCACCCCTTCTTGCGCGCGATCCGTTCCGCGCCGTGAAGGTTGTGACGAGCGTGAGGTGCTTTCTCCCGCGGCCTTCTGCACTGTCGCCACTGCCGCCACTCTTTCGTACCCTTGGCCGCACACCAAGATGTAGATTCCCCCCCCCCCCACCCCTTTGCCCACACAGACTGTTGGGGCAAGTGCTGTTAGCGAGTAGCACCTACGAAGGCCGGCACGGCACACGAAGGGGGTAGATGGCCAGCACCACGCCCTGCCGTTCTCGCTCTTCGAGAGCGATGATACCACGGAGTTGGCGTGTCTCTCCCCGCGGTCACGTAGATTTTTCTCCGGGTCCTCTGGTTTTTCCCTCGACATTTAGAATCACGCGGTTAGAGTATTTGGCTGTTGAATATTTCCACAAGATAAGCCACTTCGTTGAGCGATCATTTGTCGCCAGGTCACTTCTGAAAAAGAGCTGTATAGCTCAGTGGGCCTTTACCTGGTAAGATAAAAACGTAAAAGTAATGAAAACAATACAGGACCCTCCTGAAAAAGAGCTTTAGGACTCTCATTGGTAAATAAAGCGCATCATCACCACCACCATCATCATGATCATCTGATCATCATGTATGTTGAACTTTTCACACGCCTTACATAACCAATCGTGCTAATCAGAGGTTCAGGGGAAGGACATCAAACTAACATACAAAAAGCAGTTCTAAAGAAAAGATAAGAGGGGACACCGCGGAACATCCACACATCCACGTCAGTTACATAACGGACGAGTGGCTGTGATCGAGCGGGAATCGGAGTGATGGATGTGCGGAGTGGGGGGGGGGCTGACAAGGAGACCAGCGATGTGGCAGAGAGATGGAGGAGTGCTAGAGGGCAGGGCGTCCTCCGCTAGAGGAGCTCCCTTCCACCGATAAACTTCAATCATTTAGCCGGAAGATTACCCATCGGACACTCGCCAGCTACTCACAATCACCAGATGCTCACCATTCACCTAATACGAGGTACTCGCACCCACGACATTCCACCACTCACCAGACACTCACCATATACTCGCACTCACCACCGTGACGAGGGGAGCGCGAGGGGGGTAGCGCGGGAGGGGGCAGCGCAGGAGAGGGCAGCGCGAGAGAGGGCAGCGCGAGAGGAGGCAGCGCGGGAGGGGGCAGTGTGAGAGAGGGCAGCGCGAGAGGAGGCAGCGTGTCAGGCAGTGTGTGAGGGAGCAGCGCGCGGCCACTTGGCACAATCGTTTGAAACAGCAGTGTTGTGTTTGCCGGCGTGTTCGTAGGCGTCATGGAGTCATGACATCGGCACAAAGCGGGTCAGTGATACAGGAAACACACGGACACACACGTGCACACGCACGCACACAAAGATCCCCCGTGTAGCCTTAACAGACTGTTGGTGCAAGTGCTGTTAACGAGTAGCACCTATGAATGCCGGCCCGGCAAACGAGGGGGTGGGTGGCCAGCACTATGCCTGGCCGTCTTCATCTCCCCAGTGGCGATGTTTAACACGATCTACCAGGTGCTCTTCATAATAAAGGTTTTTAGGTTAGATCGCCTTATTTATAAATGTGTCATAACCCTCCACCACCCGACACGGCCAATCAGCAAAAAAGTGTCACGTTGACAAAAGACAAATAGTTCACTACTTTAGCCCACCGGTGTGTTGAAGAGTGAATCCACAACATTTACAGTTTGAGTACGACGTTTCGCTGGTAATTACATCCAGCATCAACGGGCAATTCGCCAGAATGGTGTCGGGTGGTGGAGGGTTACGACATACCAGGTGCTCATTTGCAGCTAAGTCGACCTCGAGGAGGCCCAGGACCAGTTCAGATTAATCATCACCGGTGTTGATGGCCGTAAGGAGGAATGAAAGTCGGGTCGCCGGGTTCGTAGCGCAGCACGCTAACAACAAACAACGCCACTCCCCACTCGCGCGCGAGCACGGCCACACACACACACGCACACGCGCGCGCGCACACGTACACACGCACGCGTATTCACTCACACAAGCGCCGCCGCCACACATCTGCACCTCCCTCTGCAAACCGACCCCACTCGGCCACCAAACGCCCAGAGACTTCAAAAACGAGCAAAGCCTCCACCCTCCCCCCCCCGCCCCCCTTTAAACTTACACCGCCGACTTCAAACGGGACGCGGCGCGCCGCCGCACGCACGCCTCTCCCCCTTTCATCTGCCCACCTCCACAAAGAGGGCTCGCTTAAAGAAGCGGAGCCGTCCTCGCGCCTCTCCGCTCATCGCCTCGCCACCCTCTCCCCTCGCCTCTGCCCTCGCCTCTCCCCTCGCTTCTCACCTCTCCCCTCGCCTCTCCCCTCGCTTCTCCCCTCTCCCCTCGCCTCTCTGCTCACCTCTCCCCTCGCCTCTCACTTCTCCCCTCGCCTCTCACTTTTCCCCTCTCCCCTTCCCTTTCACTTCTCCCCTCATCTCTCAATTCTTCTCTCGTCCTCCCCCCCCCCTTTCCCTCGTCTCTCTTCTCATCCCATCCTCCTCCAATCCCGACCTCTGCCATGCCGTTGCTCCTCGACGCCCCCTGGCTCTTTCGCGAAACAATGAGTAATATTTGCTCTTGGCCGTGAAGCGATTGCGATTACGAATATTTGTTTTTGCAGATAATCTTCTGCTCCCAGCAAGGCACACTGCTGCCGCTTTTCTCTCTCCCCCACCCATCTCCTCCCCCTCACTCTCAGTGCTTTTCTCTCAGGAAAAAACCAAAGCCACCACGACCACCACCGCTGCCGCCGCCCTGAGATACTAACGCGGGAAAAGCCACGGCAGTTGCCCAAAGCAAGCTTCAAAGTAAGGTCACCGTCTCTCGTCAAGGTCGCAGGGTTCGTCCTGCACCTGTTGTCGTGGGTTCATTGATAAACAGCAGCAGCAGCAACGGCGCGAGCAGCTGTAGGACACGGTCATGTGATGTGGCCACGGAACGGACCAACACAGACGGGACACAGCACACTCGTTATAACTTGTAACACTGCCACGCAGCCTCCACCGCCGCCACCATGCCAGAATCGCTCCTCGCACAGGGAGGACGAGTCGAGAGGCACGAGGAGCAACCTCGGGCGACCGGGATAGGCGGCAGCAGCCACGCGGCAAGCCGGCGCTAACCAATCATATGCTCCGGCTCTGTGGTCCTCTTTTTTTTAAATCAAATTTATCTCTGCCAACTGATAAGCCACACGCGCTAGGGGGCTACGACATGATGTTTCGTTCAGATGGAACAGGCGGATTCCACATTTTTATGCATCGGCTTCTTGAGCCAGGGTATGGCCCTTTCTCGACCCCCCCACGGGAAGGGAGCTTTACAACATGTGTGCGGTGATCCACCAACCCCTCGCGACTCCACAGCGCTGTATTACATGCGCGTGCGCCTTTGATTACCCAGCAAATCCTGGGTCTAAAGACTCTTCCAGGAGGGTCCTGCCACGTTTTCCTGCCAGTAGGGGGCAATGCCGCTCTATGCAATCCCGGTTGAGTTAATTGCCAGGCAGATTTTTTTTTCTGCATTGGGATGTTTAGCCCCAATATCAGTTATATATTGGGGGCTTTTTTTGTTAGCAATGGGAGGGTAATCGGAGAACCTGGAGTTAACACAACAGAACAGGGGGAGAACGTACAAACTCCACGCAGAAAGGTGCCCTAGTTGGGAATCGAACCTGGGCCCCTTCCTTCTGCGAGACCACACGAGTGTTGCCACTGCGCTGCCACCACCGATGCAGAGGCCGTGAGCGGTGGTGGGGAGGGACCCACGCCCCTGTGTGCTAAGGGTGTCCCGCTCGCTCACCCCGAACGTAAACACGCGGGCGAGGACTCACAGAACCCACCCACACGTACACACACCCACCCGCCCGCAATCACACAGACACACGCCCACCCACCCTTCAACAGAAGAGCCGATTCCACAGCACCGATACGTAACACACAGCTGTGTACACACAGGACCAATACACAGCGACACACACACAGCACTGATACGGCATAGCGATACAACACCCGCCATTCGGTACCAAGTGGCGGTGACGTCACCAGGGTGCTTGTGCCAGGCTTTGTGCACGTGAAGTGTCGAAGGCTCGCTGGCAGGTCACGGGACAGACCCAAGTATCATGGGTTGCCTGACTGAGATGACTGGCAGATGCACCACCTGTGCCCCCTAATATTCCAACGTTACAAAGACAAAGATCCCCACCTCATAGCCTGAACAGACTGTTGGGGCAAGTGCTGTTAGCGAGCACCTACGAAGGCCGGGACCACACGAGGGGGTGAGATGTGGCCATCACCGTGTCCGGCCGCCTTTGTCTCCCGAGTAGAGATGTTTCACACGCTATACCAGGTACTCATTTGAGGCTGATTCAACCTAGGGGAGGCCGAAGATAATCGTCACTAATGTTGGCCGTGAGCGGGAATCGAATTCGGGTCGCTGAGTTCATAGCGCAGAACACTACCCGCTACGCTACGGCGACATAAAAAAAGACCAAGACAAAATACAAAGATCCCCCGTATAGCCTTAACAGACTGTTGGGGCAAATGCTGTTAGCGAGCACCTATGAAGGCCAGCATGGCACGTGATGGGGTGGGTGGCTCGCGCCACGCCCGGCCGCCTTTGTCTCCCTAGTGGCAATATTTACACACTGCACCAGGTACTCGTTTGAGGCTGAGTCGACCTAGAGGAGGCCCAGGTACCGATTCAGATAATTGTCACTGATGTTGGCCGTGAGCAGGAATCGAACTCAGATGGCCGGGTTTGTAGCGCAGAGCACTACCACTACAGCGACAAGGACATGCGCACACACACAACGCACGGCTCTAGAAGGTCGGTGCACGAGGGGCGGCTATCCCAACGACACCTCCGATGGGCGCCGCTCCCCATCCACGTGGGCGCCGCTCCCCATCCACGCTGCATGACTCATACGACCAAATTAGTCTTCGTGGCTACAGGTGTAGATTACAAACAGTGATTACAGGTGTGCATTACAAATGGGGATTACTGGTAGAAGTGACAGGGAGAGACTCAATCTGGCAATTATAGCTTACGGTAAAGATATCTCTGCACCAGAGTAACGGCACGAGAGAGTCCATGTGTCCGTGAGTTCGTGTGTTCACACATCTGTGAGTGAGCAAGTTCACACATCTGTCAGCGAGTGAGTCTGCGTCTGTGACCGCCCTCACCCTGTGCGAGGCGAGGCTCGGGTCCTGCGCCAGCAGCTGCCTCAGCGTGTCGGCGCACCCCACGGCTGCCCCCCGCATCCACTTCCTCTCCAGCGGCTCCAGCTGCATGTGCACAAACAGGGACTGAGGTCACGGGTCCGGGGGCGGGGGGGGGGGGTGTGGGGAGGGTCGCCAAGGGGGTGTCGTGCGGCCGGGGTCATTGCCAGAGGTTCGAAGGTCGAAACGATTGCAGGGCCGGGAATTGGCGGCAGAAGGTCGAGGAAGAAGAAAAGGCGGCGGCGGCGGCGGAAGTGCGGCAGGAACGGAGCGACGAGCGGGAGTCATAGCGGCGTTGGCGGGCGCGGTGAGAGAGCACGGTGGGTCGATGGCGGGGCGTGAGACAGACAGAAAATAACAAACGGCACAAGGGGGCAGGAGGAAAGGAACAAGAAGAAGAAGAAAAGGCAGAAATGAGACAAGTGTGCGAGAGCGACATTTGAACGTTCATCTGCGCGGCCTGCAGAGCGAGCGGCAGACAGAGCAGTGTGTTTGGGGGGGGGGGGGCGACTCACGGAGATGTCGGCTGCAACGATGGCGGCCGTGCCCACGACCGCTCCGCGACGGCACGGCGAGGCCAACGTGGACCGCGAAACCCTCCGTGTGTGACCTTCCGTTAGAAGCTGACGCATTAAAAACTATCACCGGACGGGGGGGAGGAGGGTCGCATTTGCGTCCTGCTGCCCGTTGCGCGTCTCGGTCCCTGTGGTTCTCGTTCTACGTGCGCGGTTCCGCTCTCTCGGTGAGCCGAGCGGCGACATCGGCACGCCGCGGCGTCGGCACGCCCTATTTCCGCACGATTTGCATAGACCGTGAGCGATCCACCGTTTCCGGCGCGTCGCCAAGAAGGCCGACGATGCGAGAGCGGTTCGTCTCGGTTTCTTTGGGTGGTGGCGCCGACGTTAACGCTCGGGCGACGTTCCCTGCGCGGGGCTTGTACGCGCTTCCCCTTGTTCTGCATTGCGGGTTTGTTCCGGGGTTCTCCGGTTGCCTCCCCCATAGCTAAAAACAACCCCATACCGCGTAACTGATATCGCCCAAAACAACGTCCCCGATGTTAAGACGAGAAGAAAAAAGCGACCTGCAAATTACTCAATCGGGGATCGCGCGTGGCAACATCGCAACGCAACCGCGAATAAAACTCGGCAAGGGTCTTAATAAAATAATCATGAGGCTCAGTGAGGCTTTTCTTGGGCGAAAGCTTGGTAATAAAAATAATAAAATAAGAATCCAGCCTCACGGACTCAATCACGCGGCGGGTGAGTTGGGGGGGGGGGGGGGGGGGGGGGGGGGGGGGGGGGGGGGGGGGCGGCGGTGGGTGGGCGGCATAGCTTGCGAGTGAGCTGGCGGAGCGGGGACGGGAGAGAGAGGCTTTCATGTGGCGGGCGACGCGCGGGGCCACGAATCCTCGGGCCAAACATTCCACCTCAAGGTCACGGACGCGGAGGGGGGGCGAGGGCGGACCCCCAAGTGGGGGGCCGCACTCGCCCCCCCCCCCCCTCCCCCCCACTCCCTCCGCACTCGCCTCTGGAACGATCGCAACGCGGCGCCGGCAAACGAGGAACGTGGAGCGGGCGGGCGCTCCGACATCCGCCACCCAGGGCTCGGCCAATTACGCAGGAGGAGGAGGAGGAGGCAACGGATGGAGGCCCGGCGTGGGCAGCAACGCGAGAACGCCACGGGGCAGGGGACGCCTTCAAAGCGACGGAGCACCGGGTCGCACGGCGCGTGTCAGGATCCGCTTCGCCCCCACGGCGAGAGCGGGGGCAGTTTGGGGGGTGTGGGGGAGGAGGGGGGGGGTGGGTGGGGGAGGAGGAGGGGCGGCTCCGCAGCGATGCTTCGATTGCGGAGGTCGCGAGAGTCCGGCCGCGTGGTTCGGCGGTTGAGCGAGCGATCAAACAGAAGGTCGCGGTGACTTCAAATCCTGACTGGTGGGGTTGACTGAGCCCACAGGCACCACTTTGTGGTGAAGTAAACAGTGGTGGTCCTATGGATAGACCTGCTCCCCACCATAGGAATATGGAATTGTATGCCACTGGCTCTGCGGGGCTGTGAACAGGAGATGAGCACCAATGGCGCAATGCTCATCTGAACGTATTTCTGCATCGCTTGGCGTTCCGGACCTCGTCGTTCCGGTGTCGCCTCGATCTTTAGACACCGATACGTGTGCTCTACAGCTGTTGTGACTCAAGTCTCCCTCTCGACACGGACACGGTTCATCCCAGCGCGTCGCTCTTGACCCCAAATGGTGACCACAAATAGTGACGATCAAATCCCATGGATGCGGGACCAATTGGTACAGCGGGACCCGCGGCGTATCATGTTGGCCCGGCGCAAGCCTTCCCGTCAACCGCGGAGGTACCGTGCTCACGAGCAGTCAGCTCGGGACCACCCCCCCCGACCCACCAAAAGCCAGATCCCCTCCCCCTAGCCCTCACGAGGAGGCCGACGAAACCAGACGCCCGGCGGAGAATCACGGGGTCGTTCATCACCCGACCGAGCTGAACTCTGTTTTGAGTTTGCGTTTTGGATGCCAGGCACCGAACGGTTCGCCCGTCGTTGCCCGGCGGTGCATGCCGCAGCGCGGGCTGCAAGCCCCTCGCGAGCCCGGGGGGGGCGAGCAGGGAGGGAGGGAGGGATCAATCGTCGGGGCAGCTTGCCGGGTCCTCGCATTGTCAGTGAGAGATCGCTGCTTCTGACGTCGCGGGCGCCGAAGATGCGGGCCCATCCGTCGGTGTCGTCAGCGTCGCCCGCGATCGCGTGCGCCCCTCCGCCTGCCCGCCCGCCCGCCCAGAACGGCCGCCCCCGTTCTCCCCTCAGCCTGGCGCGAGCCGAGCCTCTCGCCCAGCTCAGGGTGAATGAGCTGCCTCCAGCCACCAGCGGCTAGGCAATCGGTCTACCTGTATCAACAGCAGCGCGTGTGCACACATTCTGTGTGGGCAGCGGTCATCGCGCTGCGCTACGACAACCCCGATTTTGATTCCCGCTCACGGATGACACCGGTGACGATTATCTGAACCAGTCCTGAGCCTCCCCTAGGTCGACTAAGCCTCAATAGAATACCGGATGCGGCGCGTAAACATCGCAACTTGACCCTACAGTCTATGTAGGCGACGGAGAGGGATCGTCGGCTTTGCAGGTGTCTGTGTGCGCGCGTGTAGAGGCGAGCGCGCTGGGCTCTCGAGTGGCGTGAGATGGGAGTGAGGCGGCAGTGAGAGGGGGAGTCGGCATGGGGCGGGACCTGAGTGGGAGCTGGCGCCCGGTTCTCACCGTCACGGACGACGCGGTGACGCTCCCCACATCCTCTTGCTCCGTCTCGGCCTGAAACGCACGCGTGGGGGCGGGGTCAGAGGTCACCGCGAGTCTGGCTCGAGTCCGATTACACACGCGACGCGCGTGCGGACAAAACGACAACGCGGAGTTCGGCCACCCCAATGCAGGGCCCTCGCAACAAGAGACTCAACGATGCTTTGTCGGATAAGCAAAGGGTGTAGATCATAATTACGTTAACTCTAGGCACCTCGCTCACCGACGCCACACCACTCGGCTATAGCCACCAACGCGAGTGGTGTGGGGCACGGGGTTGGGGGGAAGGCACAGCCTCCGAGGTAGCGGATGAACACTTCTCCCGGGGGGGTACCGAGTCTCAGCAGAGCCCGGCCAATTCCGTGCCGCGGAGCGGTGCGTCTCGGCCACGCTATCTCAGCGGCCGCCGCCGCCGCCGCCGGAGATAATGGGCAGAGATAAAAAAAAAAAAGGCGGCGCTAAGCCCCGCGCGGAATCTCTCTCGTCGGGTTTCTCGGGAGCAATTTCCGGAGCGAGCGAGGCCGGCGTCGGCGCCGGGTCACGCCGAGCGAGCGAGCGAGCACTGCATCGCGTCTCGCGCGCCAGGCCGCCGCCGCCGCCGCCGCCGGTGACATCGACAGCGCCCGGGTTTTATCTGGCGAGCGCCGTCGCTCCCCTCCCGCGCCGTTTGTCTGCACCCAGTTTGTCTTCATTTGTCGCGTTATCTAACGAGCGGGGAACGCGGCGGGCCCCCGCTGTCTGATAATCGTTACGCGTGAGCAGCACTAGCGGCGGCGGCGGCGGCGGCAGCAGCAGCAGCGATCGTGGTCCCGACGTTATTTACGACGACGTGGGGGGCGAGAGGGGGGCGTGTGGAGACACGGGGGGGGGGGGGGGGGGCGGTGGGGGCGCTGCGCACTGGTGGGCGCTGCCAACGCGTCACAACACCTTTAGAATCTCCGGTCCCTGGGCTTGCTGGAGAAACCAGAGGCAGCCACTGTGCGGGCCATAATTTGGGTCCAGATGTCAATTGATGACCCGCCCATACTGGACGTTTGTGAAAAAGAGCTTTGTAGCTCGTCGGATTCCTCCAGTCGAGATAAAGATTCTGATTCTGAATGGCTCCATGTGGCGTGAGCTGGGCTGTGATGGACACGCGGAGCGAGAGGAACCGCACGTGTGTGTTTGAGCAAGTGAGTGGGTGGGTGAGTGACGGAACAAGCGAGTGGGCGAGCGAGTGAATGACCAAACGTGCGAGCGAAGTGAATGAGACACTAAGTGACCGATCGAGTGAGTGATCGAAAGAGTGAGCGGGCAAGTGAATGAGTGAGAGAATGAACGAGTGAGCAAATGAGTAAATAACTGCGTAACCGAGTAAAATAATGAGCGAGCAAGAGATTTAATTACTGAGCGAGTGGGTGAATGAGGGAGTGAACGCACGAGCGAGCGAGTGAGCCATAGAGTGAGTGTGAATGACCGATTGAGATGAGCGAACAAACGCGAGCACTCACCCTAGAGCACATGGACTGGAGCTGCTCACTCTGCTCAGAGATCGTCTCGCTGCTCGCAGACACCAGCTCATGCCCCCCAATCGGGGGGGCCCACGCATCATCCCCTCCCCCACCCTCCACCCTGCCACCATCGGACGACGGCGACAACGAGGCCTCGGGGTCAGCGTCACGACAATCTGCCGGAGCCTCCTGCTCACACTGCAACACGAACCCCAATAACACACACAACGCACATTCCACATAGTTAGCAAACACCGCAGCATCAACCACGACAACCACACCGCCGTGCACAGCGACCGTTGCCCTGCCGGGAAACCCCAAATCCATTCACCGAACGATTTCAACTCCCGCGCTACAACGGGGGACCCGAGCAGCACGGCCGACCGCTCTTTGATTGAATCGAGAAAACAACCCGACGCGTCGCGCGTCAATGACACCGCCGCATCTGTGCGGCCTCGACAAGAAACGGTTGTGAAACAGGCGACGCTTAGACAGTGGACAGAGAGGCCAGAGAGGGCAGAGTGACCCTTAACTCTCTGCACATTGCTCAAAACGTCACCTATCCGGTGGAGACTTTTTCGGCCTCAGGCCGCAAGTGTTACCACCGGCGCGGGAGCGTGTGTAGGGGTTGTTCTGTTGTTACTGCCGCCTGTGCTTTGCGCACCGCTGCCAACTCAACAGCAGCAGCAGATGATGAATTTTCTTCAATCAGACAAATTAGAGGGAGAGCACGGAACCGGGGTTCCGTGGGGGGGGGGGGACCTGCAGGCGACACCGCTAGTGACGGATTACGCCGGTGAGAGAGAGACAGCCCCAGCAGTGGGGGGTAGGGAACAGAAGGGGAGGAGGGGGGGCCACATATCGAGCCGGGGTAATTTAATTGAGGGAGCGGACGTCATCGCGCGGGATTACGGACGACGTGCGGACGGATGAACCGATCCCACGTGTTCGTCCACGCCGTTCCCAACCCGGCAGGGGGGGGCTCGATATAATTAACGCTCGCGCAGTACAGTACAACAACAACAACCGTGAAGTCAATTTACAAAGTGGCGGTGCGTGCGGTGCTAACGCTCGTGTGGCCTCACGGCGGGAAGGGATGCTGCGTTCAAATCCCGATTCGGGAGGGGGGGGGAGGAGGCTTTTCTGCGTGTTGGGAGTGTGTACGTTCTCCCCCTGTTCTGCCAGAGTGTGAGTGCGTGATTGAGAGTGCGTGATTGAGAGTGTGAATGCGTGAGAGGGTGTCTCCCGTAGCAAGCACCCTGAGAACGATTGTTTAAGGGCGCTTTATAAACTTGAATTATTATTACATATGGGTATTGGCCAAAAACTTCCCAATGCTGAAAAAATGCACTGCAAATGAGTCCATTGAGGTGACACATTGCCACATTTCTCCCCTTACTCAGGACATTTAGAAGGACCCTCTTGAAAAAAGGAGTCTTGAGGCTCATTGAGACTTTCCAAGGTAAACACGCTCCGTAAGATAATAACAATATAGCATGTAACTTATGGTCGCCGCAATGTGGGAACACTACATCGTACAATATATGATCCACGGTAATAGTATCGTCCTATTTGTAGAACATCGTCACATCTTTAAAATCTTATTTCCAGACAAAACTAAATAGTTACTACTTCAGCCCACCGGCGTGTTGAAGAGCGAAGGAGTGAACTATTTGGCGTTTCGTTTACGTGACAAATCCCTTACTGATTGGCCGTGTGGCGATCTAACCCGTAAGCCTCTATTATGGATAAAATTGGTCGCGAAAGCCTACGTGTTAAATTGATCTCTGAAATAATAAACACAGGAATTAATTTCGTTATTGATTTTTGCGCGAGGCCACGACGTGATAATCTGGCGAAACCCATGTCGTTAAAGAACCCCCCACCACCCGACAAGCCAATTCATATCAGTTCAGCTCACTCGGCGGCGAGTGGACGAGCCATTCTCACACCAGAAATTACGCATTAGACACGTGACGTTTCGCTTGAGACTGCGTCAAGCATCATCAGGACACGATCCAGGAAGTATTTCGGCAACCGGCACGCCATCCAGTATGCATCTCGCTATGGCTGCAGTGGCCATTACCAGCGACTGGCGAAAAAAAAACGAGTTTGGAATTAAGCCCTCATCGGGTTTAAAAGCCGCCGGCATATGGCTCTCTCTTCCTCCTGCTCCCAACGCTTGCACCCACGCTGCTCCCACGCTGCTACCGCTTTCCGCCCACCCGGCTGCCCGTGCGGAGGTAATGACTTCAAACCCCGGCGCACAGCGAGTGGCACGCGCGGAAAGGGAGGCTCAAAATGACGCTGCGCGACGAGTTAACCCCGTGGCGCCCGCCACGCCTTCACCTAGCCTGGGACCAGCTGCCGCATGGCGTATATTGGCACGGCGATCCGAAGAGACTCCCCGCACATGAAGCGAAACGCCGGAAACGAAATTTCCAGGTCGCTGGTAGAACCGGCCTGGGTGGCAGCGGGTCACAAGCGTCCACAGCTATCGCGAGAGGTGTACTGGACGTGGCGTGGCGAAGGGTTAAGCGGCTGCCGGGACAGGAGGCCCCGTGCGCTAACCGCCGCGGGATGAGTGACATTTAAATGTTGACAACCCTTAACCGCTTCCCGTGCCGCCGCCACCACAGCACCAAGTCCGGTGCCAAAAAGACAGACGAACGGGAATTTATATATATATATTTTTTTTAAACAAGCCACACGCTTCTGAAATCCGCGAGGGCGGCCGTGCCATGACGAAAGGAGCTCAAGACACCGGACAAGAAGGGGCGGTGGGGGGGGGGGGAGCATGGGGGGTGTGGGGGCAGCGTGACCCTGGCGCCAGCGGCTGGGGCACCACGCACAAAGGGTTAAGAACACTTCGCCGCGCCACTTCTTCCCCAGTCAATCTCTTTTTCCCCACCCACCCGCTGCCCACCCCCATCTGCCCACCCCCAACCCGCCCCCCCCCCCTATTTTTCTCATATATTTAAAAGCCCAGAAGCGTTTGATTTCAATCGGGGGAACCCTTAGGGGAGGGGGTGGGGGGGGAGACAGAGATGACAATTTAGCGGGAGCATAAATATTAATGCGGAAGTGGCGGAGCGAGAGGGCGAGAAACGGCAGCTCGTCGTGACAGCCGGGTCTCTCGCCCCGTGAAGCTCGCCAGCTTGGGCTGGTGACAAATGCTAATATCGCGCCCCTCCGCCACTCCACCACCCTCCACCCCCACCCGCACCGCCGCCCCGCAATAAAAATACAATTGCTCGCAAGTAATAAAAAAATATAAATAAATCGCGGGGACGCCCGTTTAACCCCGTCATTGGCGCGGCGGCCGGCGCTGCCTCGCCGACGTCCCGCGCCTCCGCTCTCCTCCCCGGAGGCCACCGCTTCGTCCGGAGGTAACAGGCGCAGCCCCTGCAGTAGCTTGCCGGCTCAAGGTGGAAAGGGGCCGCCGCAAACCAGAGGGAAGCTCTGGAGCAGTGTTCTGAATTGCAAGGCCCGCGGGCCACTGGCGGTCCCTGGTGGCCTTTAGTGAGGCCTCTGACGTGCTACCCACCCGACAATACGCAAATGTGAAAACAACCCGCCCCCGCCCCCCGCCGCCATCATCGTGCTGCTGTCAATCCTCAATGGTTTCAGATGTGTGGCGGCCCTCACACTGATCATGTCTTATCGGCGAAAGTGGCCCTCCCTCTGAAAATGAGTGGAGAGTCGCCACTCTTCGAGAGTGGCATTTCTGGCCTACTCTTCCACGCTGGCGAAGGCATCTCGGAAGAGGTGGTGTGAGCACGCGCACACTTTACCCCACCGCACACGACATGCTGACCAACTGACAGAAGGGCCCCCCCGCTAGAGGGGGGTCTGCAGCAGGGTATTTGGTCTACTCTTCCAAGACATCTTGGTCTAACTTTGCTGGACCCACTTAAACTGCTTATACTGCTGGTTCCACACAGGCAGCGGGGGGGGGGGGGGGTGATTCGGGAGAGTTGAACAACGTTCTTGATTTGATTCCGCTTCATTTACACTTTTTAAGCTACGTTTGAGTAATATCTTTAACCCGGTGGACAAAGTGTTTTTCCAGTGATGAATATATTGAATCTCACAGAGAAGGCCCTTGCCTATAAAGATCTGGCAGTTCACCGGCAGCGGTTCATCAGGCAGGACCTGTGGACGGACACACAGGGGGCTAATCGTGTCCAAGACTCTCACAAACCTTTGTGAAGCTCTCAGGATTTATATTTAGAAAGGAGGGCATATCGGTCAAAGAAATGGTCCCAACTAGCCCCCAATGACCCCAACTGTCCCCAACAGTCTCCAAAAGCTCCCAATGGTCCCGAACGGCCCTCAACGGCCCCTAACGGCCCCGACGGCCCAACTGCCCCAACGGCGCCAACGGCCACAACGGCCTCAACGGCCACAACGGCCCCCAACTTCCCCAACGGCGCCCAATCACCCCAAAGGCCCCAACGGCCCCCAACAATGGCAAGAACAGTCCCCAACGTCTCCAGGGACCAGAAGAAGGAGATGCGGAGAGCGCTACTGACAGAGACGGCGCCACGGTGGAACCACTGTTCGGCGCGGCTACCACTGGACCGGCATGGCACCGCACAGCAGCCCCCCGGTACCCGGCCCCGCGCTCGGCACACGAGGGGTTAACGGGATCGGCAGCTCCGTCAAGACTAATGCACCCCTCAGCTCCAAACAGCTTTAAGAAGAAGCCACAATCCTATTTAATCTTTAAATATCCACAAGGTGTTTGTATTTAAATGTTTTTATATATATGGAAATGGTAATTTCTCCACTTATGCAAAGAAGATTCGAGCCAACTTGAAAGAGACGGGGGGGGTTGGTGGGGGTGGCGGAGTGAGCAAGGTGGACGGGTGGGTGGTGGGCTGGGGGGGGGGGCAATTTTGGCCTCTCCCACCCCCCCAAGAGGGGCGCAATGTGGGGGGGGACCCTGCCCAACCCCAACAACATCTGCGATGAGACTGCTCGATGACACCACAGCGTCGCCACACCTAGGCGAGGAGCGCGTGGTGGGGGTGGGGTTGGCATTTTGACGCGCCGTCACTCACACACGGCGTCGCATGCGCCTCTCTATCTCTCGCTCCAAATTAATCGTCGTCATCAGCCATTGTCCATCCACCGCTGGATGGAGGTCACCCCATGCCCTCGCAAGTCCCCTACGGTCCCGCGGCGCCACGATC